TCATTTTCTGCAGAGGTGTGTATGCTCTGCTCTGTTTGAGTTATTAACCAAGTGACTAATCCACATTTGTTTAAAGTGAAGAACAGGAACTTAGGCCTAGTAATTAAAAATCTATTTTCAATGTGACCATCTAGTTTGAAGAGTTCACTGGCTATTAAAGTACAACAAAGCATATTGCAGTGACTTGTTTCTCTTTCCTTCCTGGAGTGACTTTCCCTGCTATATTACTGACAGTGCTTTTTCCTCAACCATATGAGATGCTCTGGTCCCACATCAGTCTGATATCTTGCATTCCTCAATGTCTGTTCAGAGGAAACTGTGTCCTTGTTTTTTATCCAGGTGGTTTGCCAGGTGGAGAGTTGTCATTTCTGCAGAAGAAGAAAAGGCTCACAGAAATATTTTATCTCCTTTATATTTTTTATTTGCTGAGTAAGAGCTGAAGTGGGGTCATGTTAAACACTTGATCTAGTTTCAATATTAATGCCTCGCTCGTGAAACATGTGTGGGTTGTTTCGTATAATTTATCCTCTTGATGAAAGTTTGTTTGGACTGGAGAGACTACAGTGCTGGTGCTCACAGCTCCTGAGATATAAACCCAATATAACCCCAGAACTGGATGGCCAGCACTGTCTACGCTTTATCTGCCACAGGTGTCTTCTTCGGAAAGGACTTCTTAACTGAGACAAGAATAAAGTAAATACTTGTTCAGCTTTATCAGATTATTCTTATCATATAGCTAGCTTGACTTGTCAGACATTTCCACACAGACGTTGCTATTCTTGTAATTATATTTTTAAATGATAAGCTATATTTATCTTTTCTCTTAGCAGATACTAAACAAAGCCTCACTGTTGTGTTTTTCTGGGGGGACAGGGGTTGTTGTTGTTGCTGCATCCAAGAGTGACTAAGCAAAAATGGTGTCCTATACCAATAAACAAGTTTAAATCAGGTTTTCCTGAATTAGTTCAGTAGCCTTCAGCTTCCTTATGTATCTGAAAGTGTTTCATTAACACTGTGACAGTCACAGTCTTAAGCAAAGCTGGGTGGATCACAAGCTCCGTGCTTAGAAGATGCCCCAGTGCCGCAGGCCTCACTGGAAACGCTGACATACCGCTTTCCTGGGAAAGGAGGGACTCAGCAAGAATCCATGCAGCAGGCCTTTTCAAAATTTCATTTTTAATTTTTTGACTCCTCCCCCTTTGAGGGTTCCCTGTGATTACTGGCACAGGAGCTATGGTCTGATTTCTGAGTCGGCTAATGGGCAGCTAATGGGCTTTCCTTTTATTGGGAGCCTCAACCCTTCTTATTTGTCCGGAACTGGCTTTACTGGACTCACAAGGCTTGGGATGCTCAAGGCTTTAACGAGATTTAAGATTTTGTAATATTTAATACTGGAAATTCTTTTCAATAATATGAATTTAATGAGCTCTTAAATATCATACATCATTAAAAAATGGAAAATAAAAACTGACTGACCAGTTGAAAAAGATTGTGGAATAGATATTATTCTTTGCTATCCATCCCCTTATTCAAGGTTAAGGGTGAAACTGAGCTTTTTTCCCAACATGCCCTGAATGGTCCTTATTTCAACAGTAGCACTAAAAGGAAGAAACCAGAATGGAGAGCTTTGCCACTACCAGAAATAGTTGCATTCTGCACTAAAGAAGCTTTGAGAGTATCAGCAGTTACTGGGTGAACAGAGGTAAATAAAAAGTTCACCATGAAATACCTCCTGTTTTTTCCCAATGAAAAGAAACATTGAAACTTTATAAAAAAAGATCCAACTTGAATAGTATCAGAGTTACTAATGAAGTCAGAAGAGTTTTTAAGCCATGGTACAGCTTTTAACTGGCACAAGGAAGAAGAGTGTGCAGGTAGCACATACTAGGTCAGTATTAAGGCAGAAACAAACAAGGGGTATTTTTAAGTGGTTATGATTGCATATTGATTTTTGGCCTGTAAGGAAGATCCAGAGACCTAAGTAGAATAATATCATGCTAGCCAGAACTAAATAATTATACTCTACCCCACTGACAAGTAAGTTTTTCGAGGTGCACTGCATGCCTCGTGTGAGGTTCTTTGTATTGTTTGTCTTTTTGAGAGTGGTAGATATTTACTGAATGACGCATTCTTGGGTCCTTAAGTAATTTTCCATCAGCTCCTCAGTTAGAAATACCTGGGAAGTTGGTACTTGCCCCAGATATTCACATTTTAGTTTGGGGGGTGGGGGTGGGGCTGGGGTGGGTCAGAGAGCGAGATTGAGATGGAGACAAAGTATACCAGTGTATTGTGTATTCATGTGAGAATGATTGAGCTAATGGTGAAGATAAGGTAGGTAGCCTATGCTAGCTTATTTAAGATATGCGCGGGCATGAAGGAGCACGTCCGTAATGAGGAATTGCGGGAAGGTATTTGAAAGAATGATTTTACATTCGCTTCTTTGCCCATATTGTTCCAGGTTACTCCTTCATCAGCAGTCTCAGTCCTTCAAACTTGTTTTAACTGTCTTTTGCCACTGTCCTGCCTAAAGCTCTCCTCCTTTAAGGTGTGTGCTGAGCTCATGGTTGCTGGCAAGCTTGACTTTTTTGGTAATTAGTTGCTTTCATGCCTGAGAAATTGTGTCTACGTGAAAAAGGTAGATGGTTGCAGTGCTAGGCTGGTGCTTAGTTCTCCCTTTACACCCATAAGATCTCTGAGACATGTTTCCTGAACCTTATTCTGACATCAGCTCAATGCCTGCTGATGCTGTAAAATGGAATCTGGCATGGATAATATCTCTTTACCAAGCAGCTGCTGGGCACTGCCAGACTACTGGAAGATGGACAAATCCAGCCAGACCCATCCTGAATTCAGGGTTCTGGCAAAAACTCCTCTGTGTTTTTATGTGGGGATAAATTTCTTCAGTGAAATGTGTTTAATGTTTGCTCTCTTCCAGACAAATTATTTTTTTTTTCCCCAGTGGGAGGGGATTTGTTAGAAAACAGTTTGTTGCTAATACCAACAGTCAGAACATTTTGCAAGAGTGCAGGGCTGGTTGGGTGTGCTTTTCAAACACTAACTTAAAAAGCCTTGGTTTTATGCCAGTATCTTTTTTTTTATTTGATTAGATTGTGCCGTGCATTTCACTAACCTTTTATACTGCATCTTTCAACCCAAAACAAACTAGCTGTCAAGTAAAACAATTACCTTACCAAATAGATCCAAGAAAATGTATAAGTTAATTAAAATAAAAATAAGGACATTTATTTTATAAAAGATGTTCTGTAGTCAAACAGGTCTTACGAGTAAGTCAAAGTGTTTTCTCTACTATGTTGCAGGCAAATTATGCACCCATTCTATTAGTCCTATAAAAATGTATAACTGCCACATATTATTTGGAAATCATTCACGACTGTCAAGTGCCACAGCTGCTCAGCAGTATCTCTGTACAATGGTGTCAGATGTTCAGCTACGTTTGAGTAGTATGACACATGCACTCAAAGAGGAGATTGTTGTAATTCAAAATGCCTTTCCAAACTGAGGTGAGAGTGAATGGTCAAGAAAGATACCTTGCTGGAGACAGTTCCTTGATTCCTCTTCCCCTTTTTGTATTCTCATACTGTTCTGCTCTCACGTGGTGAGGTCTTTCCTGGTTAGGATGCAACTGTTATGAACTAAGTAAATGAATGTTTGAGACTGCACTATTAAATAGTCAATTCTTAGAGAGAAATCCCTGTCCTTAAGGTGTTTCTCCAATGATTAGCAAACCTCCTACCAACCTAGGAAATAACCAATTTTCTTTTGCTTAATAGGACCCTTAGATGAGTGTCTGAGTACGAAATGCAAATGTAGATAGGTATGTTTGTGGATAAGAACACACCTTTTTAAAATCACCTTTCTATACCATTTTTATTCCACTATTTTGCTGGTTTTGCTGGAGAGAGTAAATACTGGAGACACCTTTTAGATTCTGTATGAAATCTTATGCCTTTGGAAGACTTTCCCAATATTTGTTGTTTCTATTTCCTTTCTGTCTCTTTCAAGAGCATTGATGGAGCTGTTTAACACCAGTTTTAACAGTTGTTTTTTTTGTTTGTTTGTTTTTTTAGGAATACATGATATTTAGGGTAGAGTAGTGTCAAATTCACTTTGCCAAAGGGGGTCATCTCTTGTGTGCTTGCTGGTCACAGACTGAAATTCTGTGATTCACCCTTGTTGGCTTGAATCTACACAAATGTACCTATACCAAAGTGCAACTTTGGGTATATGAAAGCAGCCTGGAAGATGGGAATAGCCTCTGGCTTTCCTACAGCATGGACTGCAGCAACTCTCCCTTGGGCCCCCTGGGTCATTCCTGACTGCACAGATCATCTAACAGCACTGTGGCAACTGCAGTTATTAAGAATGGCTAGGAAAATATTTTCAGTTAAAACAGTGTAAGTGATGGGTGGACACACAGCAGTATTTGTTTTTGAAGGCCTCTTTCAAATTTCTAGAACAACCTCAACCTATAGGACCAGACAGCTTTTTGGAGACTCCTAGCAAGGCCAGAGAGAATGGGGAATCAACCCTCAGAAGAAGGACATGTAAGCTAAAGCTTAATGAACAGTTAGCCATGAAGAAAGAGATAGAGAAGCTATGAGACCACTAAAGGCCTGCCTAAGAGCCAGGAGGGCCCAGAGCATAGGCAAAGTACCTTCTGAGTTGGCATATTTAATTTAAGTGTATCAATTAAAAACAGATTAAATTCATATGTGATCCAATTTGACTCAGTATGCTTGGGTCACCCTGACCTACACAGATTTCCCCAAGTTCTTCTGGTAATACTGGCTCCACATAACATGTGGCATTGCTAGCTGTCACTTGAAGATAATGGCTATTACTAAACCTCTCCTCTCCTCGGTTCAAGCTATCCAGTTCAGATACTGGTGCCCAGCTTCTTTCAGTTCTTTGGCATAGCCCCTAGTGCAGGAGCTAGAATTACAGCCTGAGTCATCTCTCTTTTCCCTTTTCTGTTTCAGGATGACAATGGATGCTCTGCAGCTAGCGAACACTGCCTTTGCGGTTGATATGTTCAAAAAACTATGTGAGAAGGACAAAACAGCCAATATTATTTTTTCCCCACTGTGCACCTCAACTTCTCTGGCTCTGGCATATAAAGCTACGAAAGGTGATACTGCAGACCAAATGAAACAGGTAAACTGTCAGCAACCTGTTTTGTTGTTTTGTGGCTGCAAAATTATACGGCTGTTGTAGATATCTTTCTTATTTATTATTGTTAATATTCTCTTCGATGTCTGTTTCCTTTAAATCAGACTTCAAGCCAACCATCTGAATTTCCTGAACAGTTCCACACTCCATAGCCCCACACAACAAAAGACAAAACCTGTCATAAAGAAAAGACTTTTCAAGTGTGTAGAAGGTGGAAAGGAACATGGCAGAGTCCTTAACAATTGCATTAAAGCCTTGTCTCTTTTTAGTGCAGCGTTGTTTCTGGCTGCAAGCCACAGTTGAGATCACTGCATTTTCTGGATAACTGTTTATTTTTTATTCAAAAACACCTAGGCTTTATAGAATTGGAAAGAATTTTGCCATTGTCTGTCAGCAGCAAGTATGCATAGCAGCCCTGCCACTGGCATTTCCCTTTTCTCCTGCAAAGCTGCTAAGAGGAGGCAGATGCAGCAGAAGGGGCACAATTTCAGCTTGTGTTTCTCCTCACAAGCAGCTCATGGTGTTCAAAGGGTTTCCAGCACCATGATGCAGCATGGCAGTCATGATTAAATCAGTTTATCAAGCTCACTCTGGGGTGGAGGGAGTCAGCCCTCCAGCCTCTTCTGCTTCCTCTGTGTAAGCAGAGATAGGTCTAGTTCCTTTTTATCCCAATGAGAGTCCCCATGGTTTCTGCAGTTACCTAAAGGTGGATTAGAGGCAAATTCAGTATGCATTTGTATGCTGATCATCACCTGGCTCTGAAAGTTTCTACATATTTGAATGCATTTTCCCTCCCTTGGGAATTCCTCCCTGTACTTTCTCATTCACCGAAAGCACCTCCGAGCACACCCCTACTTATGCCACAGATTACAGTGAATCTTGTGCTGTTCACAGACCTACACTGCAATATGTCCATGAAGATCATAGAACCCTAGAATGGTTTGGGTTGGAAGGGACCTTGAATCCCCCTGCCATGGGCAGGGACATCTTCCACTAGACCAAATTGCTCAGGACCCTATCCAACTTGGCTTTGAACGCTTTCAGGGATGAATCTTGTAGGCATTGCAAATTTTTTTAAACAGCATTTTTCTTTTAAATTTAAAAATTAACTCTAGTGGGTTTTTTAAAAATTTTTATTTTTAATTTTTATTTTTAATTTAAATGTCACCCTGAAGCTCCCTCACGATTTCAAAATTCAAGCGTTGTCTTTCTGATGGGAGAGTTCAACATATTAACCTGCCCTTATTTTGTTTTCACTTGTCTCTGCACTTTGCTTTGAACCATTGCATAATAATAAGTTAGCTTACACATCCAGAAGTGGAGCTCTATTACACAAGCACATTTATATTTCATATTTCTCTAGTGGTATTTAAAAAGTGCTGACTTCAGGTACTAAGGAGAGCTTGGTATGTTTTTAAATGTAATATCTCCTACTTTCCATGTTTATTCTAGCTTCTGCCTGTCCCTGAGTTCGTGCTTGGGTTTTAAACACTAAATACAAAAGGAACCAGATTGGCAGCTGTACTCTGGAACATTAAAAAACTTGTGCCAAAAGTTCTCTCAGGTAGAGAATTGCAGTAGCTTTCTCTTCCAACACAGTTCCCAGGCACAGAAGCTTTCTGTGCTTAACATGCAGAGAAATAAACTGTTGAAGGAAAAGGAAATAAGTTGAGAAAGCTGTTTCTGAAGAAATGACCATGGAGTTTGTCTATGAGACCTGTACTGGTGTGTGTCCTTGGGAGTTTATTTCCTTCTGCTCCCACTGAGCAAGGAGAGGGGAGGATGTGGAAAGGTGACTAGAAAGAGCAGCAGTTTGTTGTGTCTTTGAAGAGGTGATGTGTTCTGAAAGAGCAGGAGTGATGTACAAAGGGAAAGAAAGTCACTAATGCCTGCTATGCCTCACGCAGAAACTTGAGTCAGACGAGGAAGATTGGGCAGGCTGCCTGTAATGAAACAGCCACCATCAAAGACCCTGCAATAAATAGGCATTAAAAGTTCAGTTTGTATTTATAGGGTTATTTTCAAGCAAAGGCACCAGTAACCTCTCACCTCTGGTGCCTAAAAGCAACAAGTTTTAGGTCAACTCTGTACTTCCTAGAACTGGACTTGTCATTCCCAGGAATTGGAAAGTGGCCATGTGTGGGTCAGCAGCCCTACTCACAGTTATACTGTGTCTACCAAAACAGACACAGTTATCTGATCAGTTTTTGCTGAAATGTCATGTGATGTCATGTATTAGTCACAGCAGTGAGAAAACCTGATGATCTGTCAAGCATTTTTAAAGGTGTAGCCCACTTCTAGAAAGGAGATTGTCTGCGATCTTCATTTATCTATCTTAGAAGCTCCATATTTTTGGAAGGAAATGTAAGTTTGGTGAAAACATTATGACTCCATACCACAGTTTTAGTTGACCAGCATGAACAGCTCTACTGATTTCTTTGGACTGCTCACAGGAAAGAAATATATTTGGTTAAAGTTCTGGTAGGATCAGGTTTTTAGATTTATGTGAGGATGTCAAATAAATAAATGATTTTTGAGTAACAACAGTGAGAGGCTCTGTCATCAGCTTAAATACAAAAAGCCACAGCTCTGGTCACAAATTAGCATTATTTTTTGCTAAGCTGTTCGAAATGTTTAGCTAATGGTAACAAAGAAGATGCTTAGTATTTTACTATGTTCATTTAACAGGTACTCCATTTAAAAGATGTCAAAGATGTTTCTTTCGGGTTTCAGACAATAACTTCAGATGTTTCCAAACTCAGCTCCTTCTTTGCACTGAAAATGGTCAAACGGCTGTTTGTAGACAAGTCTCTTAATCCTACCACAGTAAGTACTCTAGGAAAACGCTGGTACTGTGAATTGCTTAACCATTAGGTTGACGGATTATTGTGTCAGATTGCAATGTTATTTAAAATAAATTCTTTGAATTTTGGCTGTTTCTTGACTAGACTCAAATGATGAACAGCTGCCATAGAAGTTTGTAGGAGGATGTATGAGTCTGCTGCTTGAACTCAAACTGTGCAACTATTACAATACTTCTAATTTTTTCATTAATATGCTTTAGGTCAGTAGCTAGATTGGTTTTGAATGCAAAATAACCTCTATGCCACATCAAAGTCTTTGCATGGCAAGTATGAGTGAAGAGGAGTATAAAAAAAGTTGATGGTGCAACTGTGTGTCCAGTTCACACACCCAAGTAATTACTGCATAAACTGTTGTTTTTTAATCTGTGAGGCAGAAGCCTAGCTATTGAAGCAAAACAAGTGAATAACTTTATAAGTTCTTTATAACTTATGAACTTTGCAAAAAACTCAGAAGAATTCTGTATGTGTTGGGTTTTTTTCCCTGAAAGTTGTCATTGAATAGGGTCCCAAGAAAGATAACATCAGCCTAAAAGTCATGTTTCAGAAAACTCAGCATGCTTCAGTGATGCTATAATCAGATTGTCTACTGTTCAGCCTCTGACACAGCAAAGGCCAATACCCATCCAGAGCAATAAATATCTCACCTGATGAGGAGAGACATGATGGGAGCAGCCTGTGGCCTTTATCTCAGTCTTACCCAGGCCTGGACTGAGGATTGTTTTATTCTTTTGAACTCTGGCAACATGGTCACTCCTGCAATATTGAAGTTACTTTAAAGCTGCTGATGTAACACCATTGGACTGAACACAACCTTGGGAGCAATGTGCTGGATGCAGCTGTGCATCCTGGTTGTCACGTGGTTATTTAATAGCTTTCTATCATAATGAACTCCTCAGCTACCCCATGGTGAAGCTTGAGAGGCTGATGTTGAAGGCTCTTAAAGAATCATTAAGTGGATGACACTTAACCAGGCATGACTTTCATTCCCTGTATCTTTCAGGACTTTGTCAACTCCACAAAGAGGCCTTTTCCATCTGAACTGGAATTAGTGGAGTTCAAAGAAAAAACTGAGGAAACCCGACAAAAAATCAACAAATCTCTTTCAGAGCTAACTGATGGTGAGTACAGCTTAACCTTGGGGATGCTGTTTGCCTCTTTGGACAAAGATCTTTGTCCTTGTGACACTTCTTTACTAATGATTTTAGAAGTAAATACCTAGTGAAAGCAGTGGGACTAGACCTACTATTTGAACTCATGAGGATTAGCAGCATCAGCCTGTTTTGAAATCACTGACTTCACTACTGCAGCACTTCTGAAGGTGGAAATGTGAGACTGACCGTGCATTAGCCTTGGGGAAAGCTGCTCACATTTGACTGCAGCAAGATGATTTGGGAGAATGACAGGTCCTGGTTGTGGAGTGTCACAAAACTCTGACACCAATATGTTGAGCCCAGACCCTAACTCCTTTAAAAGCTTTATTTTAATGGGAAGTACTTGCTGGACTCTGAATTTCAGGCTGTTAATCAATATACCACCTCCTTTTGCCAGTGAGGGTAACACAAGCAGATGGGCATCTCTTATTTGCCTTCCTACGGAAGCCTGGGCAGAGATGGCTCTGGGGTTGGTTGCCACCTGTTGCCCTCGTGTGGTACAAATAAGGAAACACCATTTACGAGTCTGGTCCTTCCAGGCTGGAACAGGTGTCCATGTGGAAGCATCTTGCCCTTCAAAGACAGGACTTGCCTCCCCAGAGCTCTGAATTCAGGGTCAGTTATGGCAGTGCTTGAACAGGTCTGAAACAGAGAGAAAACATGTCATTTACATCTTCTTTTTGAAGTCTGTCACAGTATTTGGTTATTAAATGTAATCAGAGCAGCATTTTTTGTTATTCTGGTAATTTTATTCTCATGTATCAGTTTAGAAATGAGTAGCTGCTAGTGCTAGTGTGGAACTTCCCTTCAAGTCTTACTGTCCAAATGACAAATGTTTTTTCACTTACATCTGTTGAATGTCACTGAAAAATGAGCACCTTCTTTAAGGTATTGAAAAAAAAGCAGGAGACATAGTTTTGATTCCATGCAATATAAGCCAACAAAACATGTAATTTGGAAGATCTGCTTTGATCCTAAATTCCATATCAAAAATTAAGCTGCAATTTTAAGTAAGTACTTCTTTTTGAAATTTTCCATTAGAAATAAAATCTTTTATCTATGAGATGCAGGACAAAAATGTTTTTAGTTCAGTGAAATGCTACCATATTCACTTGAAGCAATTGATATAATGTTAATATATTGTTGTATTAACAACCACCTTAAACTTGTTCACAGGCAAAATGGAGAATATTTTGAACGAGGATAGTGTAAGTGGTGAGACTCAGATCCTTCTAGTTAATGCAGCTTATTTTGTCACAAACTGGATGAAGAAGTTCCCAGAGGCAGAGATCAAAGAATGTGCTTTTAAAGTCAACAAGGTATGTTATGAAAAAAATAAAATAAAATGGAGTACTGTTTCTTCTCATGAAGATGTAAACTTTGATCTAAGGAAATGACAACAAGACAAAATGAGAAATGTTTTTTACCACAGCATTCTTAGACTCTATCTAAACTTATATGGTGTTGCAAGGGTCTCAGACTGTCCTGTTAGTGTGTCAGTGAGTATATACCAGTTAGTATGTGATCTGAGTACGAGTGATCAGAAGCAGCCATTGTCTGTAAGGAGATGCACATTCTCATGAGTAGCTTATTCCAAGAGATTGAAAGGTTGGAGGAACCAGAGGTTGCACCTAAAAACCAGCAGAGGTGAAGCATGAAACACTGCATTTCTCGTAGTCACAGAGATAGTGAAATATCTACAACTGTTACACCTCTTTGAGTACATCCCTTAGGTGCCTGGCCCTGTGTTTTCCTCAGCAGAGGTGTTGCCCCATCAATCTCCCTCTTTCCAACCAGGCTCAGGTCTGCAGCCTTCTGCATATTAGTCCTGCTTAGCCATGAGGTCCAAATGGGTGTAGCACCTATGGCTGGTGCATTCAGGAATCTGTGACCAGTAATGAATATTGTAATCAGACAGTCAGCTTTAAACCAGGATACAAAGCTGCACAACATTTGTGAGATAGAGAGATTATACTCCAAATATATACATGTATACCTATATATATATATAGATGCAAAAGAAAAGTTGAAGTTTCAGGTTCACTAAAAATGTTAATAAATTACCTATTCAACCAATAGTTTCAGCCAAAAAAATTTAAAAAATTATACAATCAACACTAAAATTTTTAAGTGAAACATCTCAACTTTTTTTTCCAATGTAACATTTTCTACTGAATTTGAATTTTGAATGTTTCCATGTGAACAGAACAGTTTTTTAAACCTTCTTTATGAAATAAAGAATTTTTTTTGTTTTGTTTTGTTTTTTTTCATTCACAAAAAGCAAAGACATAGGAATTTAGGTAAACCTGAAATTTCTTCTTATTCTATTTCAGCTCCTGAACCAAAAAATCAATTATTCATACGAACAGCTTGACCTTCACTGTTGAGATGTGCTCAGTGCCTGACACTTACTGGCATTATGTATATAGTATAGTTTGTAGCACTCAGGGAAAAAGGCATGAAGGGCCACCGATACTAGGTAAATTGCTCTTTTAAGGCACACCCCCAATATGTTGCTATTGTATTAAGTAGAATACCGTCCCACTTTTCTTTGGAAAGCTGCCTACTGTAAAAAGCCAACATTGTGTTTTGCTGCTGCTTTCATTACCTATGAAAGCCAAAAAATTCTGTGGTGGTAACTCAATATACTACTTCCAGGCAAGCTTGCAAACTTTTCTGTCTCAGCATCTGATTTGTGAATTAAAAGGAATGAGAGATTGTTTCCTCTATGTTTTGCAGACTGAAACTAAACCAGTGCAGATGATGAATCTGGAAGCTACTTTTTGCCTGGGATATGTAAAAGATTTAAATGTTTCCATCCTTGAGCTTCCATGCCTTAACAAACATATAAGCATGCTCATTCTGCTACCCAAAGAAATTGAAGATGAGACCACTGGCCTGGAGCAGGTGAGGGAAAAAAGTAGAATTGCTATGATACTTCCTTGGAAACAGCCCATTTATAATGCCATATGTATATGGAAGGTTTTTGTTATTTTGAAGCAATGCGTAAGGAAACAAAAAGTAAGTTTGTGAAAATTAATAAGGCATTTCCTAAAGAACAACAATTTCTTATGTCATTTCTCTATGAAAATTTTAGAATATATTTTCACTCCTCTTCAAAGTTCATTAAGGACTAATTAATTAATTAATAAAATTATTTAAGATTAAAAGACAGATAATCACACAGTTCTCCTTTGTAATTTGCTGCAACTGTCCACAAATTTTAAAGGCAGGAAGAATGTGTCTTTGCATCTGGAAGATACTTTCATACGCCCTAGTAAATAACAGAACACACATATCTTAAAATGCCTTTCTTGATAGCAATTTGTTGTGGCCCCACATTCTGCCTCCTCACTTTCCAGTTTTAAAAAAATTGCTCAAACAGCTGCATGTTTGATTGAGATCAGGCTCTGTATTCAGAGCATTTTTCTGTCCCAGATAGCAGCAATTTCTGATCCTCTGCAGGATCAGGAATAAAGACTTTGGATCTCTACCAGTTGGCCAGGTGTAACCTGGGTAGGGACTGTATTTCTCAGGTTCCTTCATATGGTTGTTGAGGTGATTGCTTATCAAAAGCTTGCCAGAGCATGCACATACAGTAGATTTCTTCTAGAGGCCAGTCCTATGGATTAAATCATACTTGCACCGATGTAACTGAGAGTATGTTAAACCTAAATGCTGCAGTTGTTAATTGAAAAGAACAAGTTGCCTTTTGGACTTTATGTTTTGGAGACTTGATAGGAGAGAGAAGTTCAGGAATGGTCTGGTTTTTTTTCCTCTCTTTCCTTGGACTGCTCATTAATTTCCTCTGTTCCTTTACGTTTTCAGCTGGAAAAGGCACTGACTCCTGAGACATTATTACAGTGGACCAATCCCAGCATGATGGCCAACACCAAAGTGAATGTATTTCTTCCAAAGTTTAGCATAGAAGGTGACTATGACCTGAAGCCACTTCTGGAAAGCCTGGGAATGACAAATATCTTCAATGAAAGTGCATCAGATTTCTCTGAGATGTGTGAGACAAAAGGTGTGGTTTTGTCAAAGATCATCCATAAAGTCTCCTTGGAAGTAAATGAACAAGGTGGCGACTCCCGAGAGGTACCAGGATATCGGATTCTGCAACACAAAGATGAATTTAAAGCTGACCATCCATTTATCTTTTTGTTTAGACATAACAAAACTCGCAATGTGATTCTCACAGGCCGATTCTGTTCTCCCTAAGCAGGGCGTATTCATTATGAAAAAGCACATTTACATTTATGGTGGTGCGTGCTCCTGTAAAGCTTGTCATCTTGACAATCATCTTTGAAAGGAAATCTAAGAGTTTCATATATTGGCTGGGTAATACAATGTACTCTATATATGCAGCAGAACTAGTTTATCTCCTTATGTTTCATCCCCTTAAGCTGAAGGATTTCCATTGTGAAAAACACCATTGAGAAGTATCCCAGCCTTGCAACAAGAATATTCTGTTCCTCTGTGACACCTTTTTCCCAAAATGAAGTGAACTGAGAGCCTGATTTAAGACAGACCAGGGGTTGGAAAGGGCTCTGGGAAGACATTCCTGCTCCCTAGTCAAACCACTCTCTCTTGTGACTCAGACTCTCTGGATTCCTAGTGCCTATAAGGAGAACTGTGCACATGTGGTGTGATAGCTCTCCCCTTGGACCTGGCTGCACTCTGGTGGTCCAGGGTGCCCTACAAGACCCTACCAATGCTCATTGAAACAGTGCCCAAGTTCTGCAGCATAGCTAAACTATTCAGGCTGGCATCAGAATTTGCATCTGTGAAACATCAGTCACACTGAGGCCTATGGATGCCAGAGGCAAAAATCATGGTGACAGAATGTATACCCAGAAGACTCTTCAGCATGAGCTACATCATTTCCCAGACTGGGGAGGTTGGATTCTTCTGTGTGGCATTTTTTCATTCAATCCCTTCAGACACAGAAGATGGGACAAGTTCAGCGCAGTTACAAAGAGCCCTGTTGTATATATCCTAAGAAAAAGAACATTATGCAATTCAAGGATAGAACACAGTTGGATTAATACTGGAAGTGCCACACTTCTAGTTCTGAATTCAGCATTAAGGAAACTCCTCTACAGTTACTTAATGTCTGAAGCATGAGAAAGAAATAAGGACTTCAACTTGAGTGAAATTAACATTGTAATTACTAGTCTTCAAATTCCACATGAGATCATGGTAATCAGATTTCATTTCTATCTAGAGACTGCCTGCTGCATATGTTCAGTACTGATTTACCTAATTACTGTTCAGAATAAAGCACTATAAAACCTGTGTCAAATGAGCAATACCTCCAGTGTCAGTCTTTGTGTTCTCTGACAGTGTCAGTGTTCACTCTTGACTTCCAATAAATAATAGGAATGGCAAACAGATTCACTTAGGCCACAGAGTCAGAATAAAAAAAAAACCTAAGTGAATGTCTGGATTGCCCTTCTGGGCCACATGATGATAGTTTCCAGTAAGGAATATGTTACTAGCTGGTCAGGATATACAGAGAATTCAATTATCTATTCTCAAAGGATGGGAGCATTTTACTGAAGAAATCCTCTTGGTGCCTCAGGTCTGAAAGCAACTGGAAAGAGATTTCTAAATGGAAAGAGGCAACCCCAAGTATGCATACTTTCAACATCAGAGAGCAGTGCTGTGGTTATTGAGAATTTAGAGACTGTTTTGATTCTTATCAACCCATGAAAGATTTCACAATGATTCAGTAGTTTTTGAGTGTGATTCAGTAGTTTTACCTGTTCCCTTCCCTCTGTGGACGTTTAATGGGCTCTAATGCATTTTAATGCCAGAGGTTAACTTCGGTCTTTGGTCCATATCTTTGAGGGTACTGAGGAGACTAACTTCCACCAAAAACAATGGGAGGTGAGACCCTGCAGACCTCTATGGATCTTAGCTGATATGCATCAGGTATCTTGATTCATGGATAGTAGTCAGAAGAATGAAAAATATAAAAATTACTGTGCAGCCCATCCCGTCTGAGAAGGAATTACCTGCAAAGATCTTTACTGGCTCAATTTCAGTGATACCTGAACGATTGGTACACACAATCATGGTCTGATCTGCTTTGGAGGCTGGGGTCAGATTTATCCAGGGTTATTTAATCACTGTGATTTCTCCTGGTTCTCCTGTATGAGGTGTGTCAGGACACTGTGCATGGGGTTGATGACTAAGCAGCTGCACAGGCAGTCTGTGCATAGGCAAGATGGATTAGTTGCCTCTAGTCCGTACAGTTTGTGTTTGGGCACTAACTCTTCGTCAGGTAGTTCCAGTTGTTCAGCAGGCCATATCGCGCTTACTGCTACATCTGTGCTGGTCTGCTAGACTAATGAAAACCTCTGGTAGATTACCCATCTCTCTTTTCTGCCTGGATGAGATTTTCTGAAGGAGAAAAGCTCAGACATCACTTCCAAAGCGTTTTGAGGTTCTGAAAACATTCCAATTCAGGAGCCAGTCTTCATTTAATAGAGGTTGTATTCTGTTTAAATGCTGATCAGAGCATTTGGCATATCCCCACAAATTTATGTAAGCATGTCTTGTCCTTGTGATAGCTTTACCAGGAAGGGTTATCCCGTGAAAACTGAGCAAAACACAGCCTTAGGGTGGGGCCCATCTTTCTGCACCTCTTGACTAATACCAAGGTATCCCAGTCTGTGCAAGGCAAGCAGATGTTAGAGATACAAAGCTGTCTTAGCCCACATAAGGCAAAGCCCCTTATTGGTCATTTATAAACATGGTGCTTTGCCCATGAAAATCTTCATTTTTCACTTCTGCCTCTTCTCTCTACCAGTCCCAGTGTGAAGCCTTTCCATCTTGCTGCACTTCTCCTCATGGAGAAGTATCCATGAGGCTCCTGCTGGTGTGAGAACCATGTTAGAGTCTATTGTTTGTTCCACCCGTGTTGGAACACCCCTGTGGGCCTTCGGCAAGAAATCTCATGGGAGGACATGGGAAAATGTGTGTGGGAGTTTGTGTATAGGAACACTTATGTGCTGAAAGGTGTTGGTTACAATGGAGAGAGTGAACATAGCTGAGGACTTGCTCAGACTGAAAAGGCGCTCCACCTCAGCTTTCAACAGAGCATTACTATCCAGTGATGGATAATGCCCCTGATGGAAAAAAGCAAGCCATGGCTGGTTTGGCAGGCAGTTGCAAACTGTAGTGTTATGTGCCTAGTCATCTCATCATTTGCTCATCTGCACAGTCATTGCCCACTTCCTGCTCCTAGCATTTGCTTGAGGAGAAGGGATACATTTTAATGTTTGGTGGTAGCAAAAGCTGTTTGTGGGGAAGAGCAGTTTGGATTTGAAACTTGAAAAATGCAAGGTAGGGCCAATTGGCCTTACTGGAAAAGCAGGACACTTTCGTTAATGTAGTATCCTAAGGGCCTAGAAAAGACAAGATTTCCACATACATTGACATTTCCTGAGGCAAAGCAGTTAAACTGATGTCAGTCAAGGAAGTTCTGAGGGAATATACGGCACAGCAAGTAAAATAAGTCAGTGAGGGAACAATGTCAATGTAGGAGGGAGGGAGAAAGCACAGAGGCTGGAAGAAAGAAAGTCCTGCGAGATACTAAAAAATACCTAGACTTTCACTGAAAAGAGTCTAGGATTCACAAAAGCATCACAAGATACATGAAAAGGCAATTGTATAAATAAATAAGTTTTAAAAATAGAGAAAGAAAGACCTGAGGAGGAAGACTAAGGAGCACTACAGAAACATGAAGGAAGGAAAAACAGAAACAAAGAAGTTAATGGCAAATGAAAGCAAAAAAGCGAGGAAAAGAATAGAGGTAACAAGAACACTCACTTCATCCTTGTGTCTTGCATTGCTTACAAATCCCCCTTTTTGGATGAGAGCACTGGAGCCTGGCCAACTGGGCTGAGACCTTGGCAGAGGAGAAGGGAACAGCAAAGCTGATGGGAGCTGTGCCTAAGGAAGAGGGTAGTCCAGCTTCAGCACTAGAAGGAAACTGTGGGAAGGACAAGGTGATGCTGGGGGATCTTCTTTCTCTTTCCTGCTTACCTACAAATACAAAGCCAGTTTTATGCTTTGTAGGAAAAAAGAAGAGGTGAGAAAGGAAAGACATAAAATTTTCAGGATTGCAAATCCACATACAACCCTGGATCAATTTTGATCTCTGAGACCAGCTGCTATAACCCAGTGTTGCACTTGAGCTCAGTCGTGCTGCTTAGCGGAGATCAAACACTGTGCTGATGCAGCTCCATGCTTCCTTCCTGTTCTTCACTTCCTTCTCACCCTATACTGGAGACTTAACCTATGTGATCAACCACTTCTGGCCTTCTTTTATTCTTAACTCTAAGGATTTAAAAGAATACCTCCTGGCTGAGAATTCCTGTTACACTTCAAGGAAATACTTCTTCCCTTCTCTAATTAAGCTCCTTCCATACACGTAAAGCCGACTCCTTACCTGAGAGAGAGAGATGGCTGTAGGCAACATAAAGCTCATGTGTTTCCCATTCATTTGCTCTGTGCAAGCAAGCTCAGTCCAAACAATCTTGGCATGCAAACACCTATGTCCGAGCCAGACCCCATCAAATTTTAAAGGGACTACACACAGCCGTGTAGCCATGGATCTCCAGGGTTAATGATCAGTTTTCCAGCTGAGGGTGACTTGGCATTGCAATCAGGAAATGTTGCCAGCAGATATTACCTGCCAAACTTGTTGGGCAGCCTTGGGAGAAGTGCTAATAGCATATTGCTAGATGCAGGTTTACCAGTCTTCTGTGAGGAAACCTCATGTTGATGGCATTCACATTGAACTGCAACATGCTGCTATCAGCAGCAATTGGTTAGAGATTGAACAAGAGAGTGGGAGATTTTTGTAATACAGTAGTCACAGGAACGTGCTCCAGAGCTCAGCTGTTGTGCTCTTCATTTAACCTCTTCAGGCAAGAAGGTAAAAATTCTATGTTGTTTTTGTTGTTTTTTTCCCCCCCAAATAACATGTGATATTTTTTTGGCAGATCCAAAGTAGTCTACAGGCTGGTAAACATCATGTTTACAGAAGAAACAGAGAGGGTTTACAGGCTTCAGGCAGCAAAACACACTGCTGAAATTCAGGTGGCTCACACAAAGGAGCTGGTCTTCTGTGAGATATGAATGAGGAATTTAGGAACATATGCCCAAAGATATCAATCTAAAGATTCTTGCCTAAATTTCACAGGCTTTC